TATGTAGTGGCACTGACCCTAAATATTGAGAAAGACCCCTTATGGAAGGGGCTTGGGAAGGTGAATGGTAAAACAAATCACGAGTCTGGTGTTCAAGATTGCCAGAAAAAAAAAGCGTTGTGTAGGCACAACAGACATTTGTAATTGAAATACATAAGTTTGAAAATGGTATTGAGTGACAAAAAAAAAATGTATCACTAGATTAACATTTCATGACAGTAGCATGAACAGACGTGAGACTGTGTTGGCTCACCTTTTGCTGAGTCCGGCAAGTGCTGCATTTTCTTTTTCTTCCTCAGTTGTTAAAAGTTGCTTGGACAAAGGTCATCAAAATTGCTTTTCTTCATCTTTGTCTAGCTGATTAGGTCAATGACCTGTCAATTAAGCCAAATAGGTAATTGACACGGGAAAACTGTTCAGCAAGGAACCGTTCAGCAGTTACTGATGACATTTTTTCTACAGCTTTGAAAAAATATAGGAATTGCGTTGCATTAAAGGTAGTTAAAATATATTATATTTATTTAAATATCTGAATATATTTTGCATTATTTTGATAGAAAATGTGTTGTGCTTCCAATGCAGTCTAATGCAGCCATTGAATACATAACACTCCCACTGATTCTTTCTTTGTTTCTCGGTCACACAGTTGCACAAACACGGCCACACCCATTCACGCACTGGTCAAGTGTTGAAAACACACTTGCAACCATTCCTCTTGAGGTGGAGAGTCACACCCTTTATTACTGGTTGAAATCGTCCTGTTGAATGTCTCACAGAACAGTACAGTGGAAGCTTCCCTTTTCTTTGGTGCATCACATAAAATGGTGCCAGTGGAATTTAAAATAAAGCCAGGTTTTGGATATACTACAACTGATTTAAATACATGACGGTTATATTGCTTCATAGCATATAACAAAGAAGACAGAATGCACATTACCAACATTGAGTAACGGTGTGTCACTGGCTCCACTATACATGGAAAAAGTAATTTGAGCAGTGCTATATTGTAAATAAGGGGGTGATGCTTACTGTCACTGTCAGAAACAACTTTCTGATGATGATAATGATGGCCTTTGAATAAATTTACCATGAAGCTTCTGTACAGTGAAACTGTCTGCACTCTTCACTACATGATTTGCATGACTTGAGTCCAGCCCCCAAAAGCTTTTGCTTGTGCTATTATTGTAATGTAAAAGTAAGTACTGTTCTGAATTCATGTGATTAACACAAATCTATGTATACCATAGTCACAGTTTAATTTTGTGACTTTGGAATTCTGTCTGAAAATAGTCTGAAATGTCCACAGTTGAAATAGTTAATTGTAACGTATAATAATGTCAGACTTAACACAAATCCTAATACGTAATTATTATGGGAACAGAGATTGTTGAAACAATATTGTCCAAATATAGTGCACTATTGTTGGGAAGGGGGGATAAATATAGTGGTAGGACTTGTATTAAATTGTTGGCAGGTGTGGGAAAAAAATTAATTGCTCAGAAATACATTGCTGCAGCTAATTCCCTTGAAGCCCCTCTGTGTTTTGCTGAGATGAAACTGGATTGAAAAGAAATTAGTAACATAATCCACAACAGGATCAAAACAGTGCGATTGGATTATATTTTGTTGCATCACAGCAACTGAAAGATGTTTTAGATGAAAGGCAGAGATTTTCAGAGGGAGAATGTGGAGATACATTATTGAAGATTGCGAACAAAGTGTGTGTGTGTGTGTGGGGGGGAGTAGTATTTGATGTCATAACTTGGGAAATGTAGCCTCTCCCATTCAGCAGACGTGTGTAACCCAACCTGGGCCTCTCATTGTGTCTTTATTTGTTTGATTTCAAGGCAGGGACATTACAATAAAGCCAATCTGGAAATGGGATCGGGCTGTGACTGATGGTAATTACTTGCTGTCTACACCATTAAGAATTTAATGTAATTTCAGAGACTTTCCTAGAGGGAGAGCGAGAGAGAGAGGCTGCAGGGAGAATGGTTGAGTCTGTAGGCTATTTGTATCAGTACGGCAGAGAAAAGACATATTTGGAAGCCAGTTTGAGTCACCAAGACATTTGTGCAGCCCTATATCTTAACACCCCCACTTCCTGAGAATTATGTCTATTTAATATCCTGCATATTGTAAGAAGTACAGACCACTAACTGTTGGAGTCAGAAAGAGTTCAAGAACCTGATTTAAGACAAGTCACCGCTCCACTGTTCATTGTGCCCTGGTCTGAAGAGGCCGGACTGGCTGTCAGCAGGATTACTGCAACAGGAGGTGATCAGCCATGTAGAAAAGCTGTGGAGTGTCTCGGTCTGGGGGACCCCCTTATCCAGTTGTTGTTAGCTATATGTGAAACCTAGAGCAGGATCCATATAACGAGGCAGATATCAAGATGGCGCTCTGGAAGGTTAAAAACAATTACCGTTGAGTTAAAGGTAATTTGGAGGATCATGGTGGATAGAGGAATGTATAGAGCAAATTGCTATTTGAAACCGTACAGTAGGATCTTGGCTTACTGACTGCAGAACAAATTGCTCACACGAGCAGCAGATTTGTATTTCAGCAGTCAGTCAAATCTGTATTTTACAGCTTATACAGCAAGCATATACCACTCATACAGTGTGTGGATATAGTTGAACTAACAAATATAACAAGGTGTGTTCATTTTCGTGGTAAGTGTGCAAAACGTTGGACCTGACTGAAATAGCACAACTAAGATGGTGAACATAACATAACCAACATGACCTTCAACCAGAAGGCGGTGTTCGGATCAGTTTTTGTGTCCCAGAAGTGTCAAAAATAAGTTACTTATGTTACGTTGTAAACTTACTTATTTTCAGCCCAATTACCATGATGTTTTCCCTAAACCTAACAAAGTGATTTTGTTGCTGATGAAGTGGCTTTGTTTGAATTCACGACGTTAACCAGGTGTTTACTGCGACTGTACCGGTGTGTTACAGTTACAAGCTTGGCTACCCATTGCGTTAGAAAGTGACGCCAGAGGGTCTGACCAAAATGTGCCAAATTGGGATGAGAAGGTGATGTGTTGTGTTTATTTCTTTTTTGATTCATTGATTGCTGTCAGAATGTAAAGAGAATTCCAAAAAACAAAAAGACTAAAAATGTCATTGAAGATTATTGCCAGTCCTAGCTTTAATGCATAGTTAATGAAAGAATATGTGCACCCTGCGCAGAAAAAAAGCTGATGTCATGATCAAACCTGTACATTCATTAACCAGGGAATTTCTTTGTTATTGCAAACAGAAGCATACTCTATCATCATAACAGCCGTGTTTAAGACATAATAGGCCTAAAGGGCTTGTGTGACTGTTGTGTGTTTCCTGTCTCAACATGCTGGGGGAAAATGATTAATTCAAAGAGTCGGAACGGGTGAAAGAGAAAGGTGATACAGTGAAATTAAACCTCCATTGTTATTACTGCAATTAATCATGTGCTGTAATTGTTTGCTCAGTGTAAAAAACAAATGTAAAATTGTGCAGAAACCTTCTCACACTTTGTTTCACTTGGCTGCAAACAACCATTGCCCAGACGGCTGACTTATTTATTATAGGCATATATGAAATATACCACCGATGTGTGTTTTCAGTCATGATAAATACCATGCTAAGGTTGCAGCATTTTAACCTGTTCCCACAAAAGAAAAAAAAATACTGACTACTTGCTAGTGCCATATTTCTGGATACTGCACGATGAAGGCATAGGAAGAATATCCACAAATATGTCTCGATCTTTGGATACAATTATATCCAAAAAGATCATCTATATGAATGAATTAAGCTGCTACATTGATGCAATTCAATTCACCTTCAGGTTTTTTTGTCAGGGACACCTCAACTTCTTGATAAAAGATGAAATTATTAACGCAAAATTAAACTAAAGGTATCTTTTTTGACACAACTTCTGTTCACTGCCCTTGTTAGTAAAGTCATCCCTCTTCTTCTCTCTCTCTCACACACAAACATCTCTCTCTGCATTATTTTGATGGCATTGCAGCACTTATATTGTTACATGCCTAGAAAGACATTACTGTGTGCATATATACTGTATATATGTGTATGTATATATATTTATATATATGTATATGATTATGATCTTTCAGCCTATTTGTGCAGTTCAGCCAGAGGTGATTACTGAGAATTACACTAATGTGCGCTCTCTGCTTGCATGGCGTGCTTCTGTCCTGTAACAAAGATTATAACTTGAGAAGCTGCATGTGTAAATACGTTGCCAGCACTGGTTTGTTTGGATATTTTCAGTTTTCTAAGAGACATACCTGAACAGGTTTAAAAGGACACATAATACAATTGAGTTCCTCACTTGGGAGTGTGCGTGGTTAACAGGAATACTAAAGCCTTTCTGTCTACACAGCTTTTATAGCAAACAAACAGGTATAGGGCAAAGGAACCTATCAGGTTTGTAAAGCAGGATGCACCATTGGTTCATCTGTGTTTCATCTTGACCACTTTTCACAATTTCATGGGTGATGTTTCTCAAACATTTTATTTGTACTGTGAACACAGTGAGGGCTAACACCACTCAAGAAAGGTGAGAAATGTAGCTTGGACTAAATTGATTTGATCCTCAAATGGTCCAGACAGAAGCAGCTGTAGCTACAAGTCAGCACAGTGTTTGTCCTTCTAAGTGTGACTCTGGGCATTACCTCACCAGCACTGACCTATGCAGGTGATGACAGCAACAACACATGCTGTCAGTCTTTTGATCTTTAAATGTTTCATCTTGCTCTGAGGTACAATGCAGTAGTTAATTTGTACACTGAATTTAATCTGGTCTGAAGAGGATGCAATCTAAACTTGACTCAATTTGACTAATGAAATACTTAATTATTCATATTCTACTGAAAGAGGTTCCCATTGTTTTTTTTTTTAATGTGATGTCACACGATCTGTATTGCTTAGACCATACACTGCACGTCACATTTGAAGTACACCCACATGCATAATTGTAGAGTAAATAAATACAACTTAAACAGCACCAGAAGATGTGTAAATTAAAGTTTGTATACACACAGATTTGAGCATATCTAGGTAAATGTCAGTGATATCAATACAGAAGAAAATCCAGTTTTTTTTTATAAAAAATAAAGCATCTTTAATAGTTACTTTGATTTCCTTTCACAAACACTTAACATGTTTTCACAGACACATTGAGAATTCCATGGTTGTATAAAGGAGGGTGATGTATGCAACTTAAAGCAGGTTTATGACAAAGACGTTTCGGCACATTTCAAATTATTCAGTGTGATGAAAATATGGGAGTCTTTGCTGTACTGAGATTGCATTTAAAGGTTTTACATGCATGATCAGCAACTACTGTGAGCCTTCACAGAAAGTAGGGCATCTTGTTACCAGCCATGGCTCTCAAACGTCATGCAAAAAGAAAAATCTAACAGTATATCACTCATACATTATTGTATATCATGAAATGCACATCACTCCTTTACAAATAAGCTAAAGAAGGCAAGACGCAATTGAAAGCTGTGCAACTTGTAAGTGGGCATGGAGTAAAGATTTTCTTTTTTGGTCAATCTGCTGTTTTCAAAAGCATTTGTGCAATTTGTCTGAACATTTCCTGTATACAACACAGGTATACTGTAGAGTTTGACGTATATTGACACATCGAGCTCTCCGAATATAACAGGATTACAATTCCCTGAATAAAGTAATGCATTTTGATCTACCTTTTCTGTATCAATCAATTTTGAAATGTACTTTATGAATATAGCTAAAATGTAATTTAACAAATTGAAAGATTTAGATGCCAACTCCCAAGTGTAATCACTATTCCATGATATTTGTAATAGTGACTTGTGATGTAAAGAAATGCAGTTTTTCAAAAACAATCATGAAGAAAGAGACATTTGTTGTGCCTTGAACTATCTTCTGTCCTTTTCATGCAATGCAGTTGTTTATCAAGTTGTAAAACATTTTGTACAATATTTACATAGGACCTTAGATTGAGTAATATTCACTGAGTTGCTCTATAACTTTGTAATAAAGCTGTTATAACTTTGAAGCCAATACAAATGTATTCCTTGCCTTGGTTTTCTGACACTTCATGTTTAGATGAGTTTCATGCTTTATAGATTTTATAAAAAGTAAAGTAAGTGCTCTTTCTAATGACAAAACCTTGTGGCATATTAGTCAAATGACACTATATTGCAGTAATAAGAATCATATGACAAAAGCAAAAAAGAGCAACTTCATGTGAGAACTACACTTCTCACAGTGAGTTTTGTAAACATTCATGTAAACAGTGGTGGTTTAGGATGTGGATAATTAAATATCAGATGTTTGAGATCTGCCTGAGCTTTCTGTTCACAACCTGCATTGACTCATTCTTCATTTTCAAAGGTATCTCAACCTCTGATCTTTTCTTTCGCTGCTTTTTAAATCTCCTACAGCATATGTAAGATGTCAGTGTCACAACTGAGAAGAACAGCCCCAGACATGTCACTGAAAGAGCAATGAGGAGAGGCTGACAGGGGAACAACTCATACCTCTCAGGCCCCTCTGTCATCTGGCCTTTGTACCAGGGCCTCTCCTCTACCTCAATTTCAGCCTCTCTGGTCAGCAGGCTCTGGATGTAGCTCTCGTTGCTCACTGTTTCATTGACAAAGAAGTTAACCATCACTGTTGAGTAAAGCGGCTCAGGCTGACCGTGGTCACTGACCTTCACTAGAAGGCTGTAGAGGCCCCGGATGCTGAGCTCCCTCTTTAAAGTGATATTTCCTGTTTCTGGGTCAATGGCAAAAGAACCTGGCTCGCCACCTTTCCTCTTAACAATACTGTAGGCGATCACAGCATTCATGCCTGTATCCTTATCCACAGCGTAGACCTCTGTTATTGATGTTCCTGGTAGCGTATTGGGTAGAACCAGCATGTAAGACTGATTGGACTGGGGGAAGAGGACAATAGGTGGGTTGTCATTTACATCCAACAACAGCACGGTCACCATAGTTACACAGGAATGCGCAGGCTCCCCACCATCGACGGCCTCAATCCACAGCTGGTATGTCCCTTGTTGCTCGCGGTCAAGTGACGTCTTGGCCCTCAGTGCACCTCGGCCTGTGTCTATCATGAAGATGTCGCTGCCGTTGAGGATGGAAAGGGCCACCCAACCATTTTCCCCCGCATCGGCATCGGTCACAGAGAGGACCCCAATTTCACCGTAACCCGGGAAGTTCTCTGGCACAAAGAAAGTGAAGTCCTTATTGATGAAGCGTGGACTGTTGTCATTGCGGTCTTGCACGCTCACCACCACCGTTGCAATCGACTCCCTCCTGGGTGTCCCCTGGTCCACCGCTCTCGCTATGAACCGGTACGTCTCTTTTTCCTCGCGGTCCAGCGATGTGGTTACAGTTAGGACACCTGTCACACGATCCATGACAAAGATCCCTGGGGCTTCACCGCCAAGGAGGTAGATGACTTCCCCTCTGCTTTCGCTGTCCTGGTCTGTGGCTTGGAGCTGGGTAAGAAAGGTGTTCGGTGGATTGTTCTCCTCCACAGATATTTCCACCCAAGACTGCTGAAACACTGGTGCGTTATCATTCTCATCCAATACCTGCACCTTGAGGAAGGTCTTGATGACAAGCTCCCGAGAATTCTTGGCAACAACAGTTAGCTCATACTCCTGTTTCTTCTCATAGTCCAAGGGCTCTGTAGTCTCCAGCAGGTATTCGTTCTTTAAAAGCTGATAGGGGACGAGTCTGAAGGGACCAGACCCTTCCAAATGACAATCCACCCTTTGGTTCATATCAATGTTTTTGACACTAAAAAAAGCAATTGGAGAAAACTCTGGTTCAGACTCCTTTATGGTCACCACCCCATCCTTTTCTGGTGCAATATATCGGGGTATGACAGCAGGGGGTCCTGTAACAACTTTGATTATATGCACAGAAACAGTAGCTACTGCAGGGATACAACCAGCTCCATTGGCCAGAATGGTGAGTTTGTAAAACGTGGCTGTGCCAGTGTCTATTTTTCCTGCTAGCTTGATCACCCCTGCGATTCTGTCCAAATGGAACAAGCTCCTGGTGTCTCTTGGCACGCGTTCACTGTAAGCATAGCTGATCTGAGCATTAGCACCAAGGTCAGGGTCAAAAGCATTCAGACGTGCCAAATGAGCCCCTTTGGTGGCATTCCCATGCAGAGTGACATTAATTTGCGACTCTGCGAATTGGGGGCAGTTATCGTTCACATCTGTGATGACAATTTTCAAGGTAGCTGCTCCGAGCAGAGGAGGGGTCCCTCCGTCCTCTGCAATGATATCCGTAATGTATTCAGCCTGGTTCTCTCTGTCCAAAGCCTCCATCAAAATGAGGAAGGGTGTCAGCTCACCTCCGTCATTTTCCTCAACATCCAGTGCGAACGTGCCAAAGTCATTGACAAGCCAGTAGGTCTGCACTCCGTGAACACCGAGGTCTGGGTCCACTGCTGACTGCTCCACTGCAAAACGAGCATTGATTGGTGTGTTTTCTGGGACAGATATACAGATCTCATCTACAGGGAACTTTGGCCTGTTGTCATTCACATCCTCAATAAAGATCTTAACTTTGACCAGCTGAAAGTACTGCTGGGGCAACACAAACACATCCAGTGAGAGGACACATCCCTGTCCCTCTGAGTTATATGGGCAGAAGGTCTCCCTGTCAATCTCCGTAGCAGATGTGTAAAGCTCCCCGGTGGTATTATTTAGGTTCACAAACTGTCCACTGACCTTCTTTTTTGGGAGACTGAATAAAAAGGGGGGCTCCACAGTGAAATCCAAATTTAAGTCTACTCCAATGGCCCCTATGAAGGTCCCCCTGGTTAATCCCTCCTTTATCTTATAGATCAGCTCTTTTGCTTGGCTGAAATTCGCAAAACAGGAAAGAGGGCTGGGGTAAAGCAAGAGGATGCACAATCCCTGTAAGACAAGATAATTAAAGATAGTTTAATAAAAAACTAAAAAAAGTTGCAGAATAGAATGATATTTACAAAATGAGGTATTCCTGATGTATTATTCAGTGTGAACTTTACTATTTAGTTATATTAACAGCTGCAGAGCTTTGTGAACACCTGCAACAATGATTTAAACAGTAATCATTACACTTATCTTGCATTATAACTATCATTTAAGCCAATAAATCCATGAAATTAGATTTGTATATATTAGTATAGTGCAGAGGAAGAGAGACTTGTCATGGTCTGTCTTATTAATACAAAACAGTAGTCACAGTATCATAAACAGTACTGGTAGTTGTGTTAGTGAATTCTGTCTGTAAAGTAATCATCATAAAACTTACCCATATCCCTCCTCTTTTGCTAAGGCTGGGGTGTCTGCTGTTGAACATGTTTATGTCCTAGTCCAGCACTTTATGGCAGGAAGAGTAACAGCTTAAGTAACCTCGGCATTTTGAGCGCTGAGCAACGCAGACCTCTGCTGAGTGCTATGCCTTATTGCTGTCTGCCTTGAACAAGTCATTCATCCCAGTGCTGGCTCAGGACACTCCCACCGCATGCAAATCAGTCCCTCATGTTAACCAATGAGAGCCGACGGCCACTATGAAATCTACTTGAGTTCATAGATTCCTTTTTCATGCACGCTATCAAAGCACATCAACACGCACCTGCACGTTCTCTACACACCCATGTTGTCTCAAGCAGCTGCATTCCTTGTACTCCTGCGGTAGAGTGAAAGCACCAACTGAGCTCATAATGACATGGGAGATTGAGCAAGATGTAAAATATCACCAGCCTGGAGATTACTTTAATCCAGCATTAGTTAAAATTCATCACAGATGAAAAAAAACAAACATGTATGAATTGAAGTCTGTAATGATATAATGATGATACATAATGTTTTTACAACCACTGATATTTGGCTTTTTAGATAGATAGATAGGAAAGTATTTTCCATGTGCCTTCAAAAAATGGGGAATTTCTTAGTTTGTGATAATCATAAACAAACGTCTATATACATGCTGTGTATATCCATGAAATCAATTTCAAAAAGCATGGAAATATCATAAACAAAGCCAGCAGAGAGGTGATCTTGGCATCATAAGTGGTGGTCTGATTCTGGATTGAGCCTTTAACCAAATCAACCCCCTAATCCTCATGTGTTCTAAATGCCGGGCCAGCTGTTTGCTGGGATTGGAAGCATACTGCTCAGAGAAATTGAGTGATTGAAGTTCTCTGGAAAAGGGCGGATTGAGACAGTCACACATGATCATTTACTACGTCAGGTCTTTGCTTTCATTCCTCATCGTAAAAAGGTCAATTGGATGGAAAATGCTGGGGCCTTAACTTAATGTATTTTGTTATTTAGTGACATTGCAGAAACATACCATACGCATACTGTATGAGACACTTTGTATAACATACAGTACAGTAAATTAATATGGATCATTGACAAATCCATCTTGCATCCACTATCCAGAGTTTTTTTTTTTTTTGCGCTGAGCTCAGAAACATTTCTGTAAACACAGACCGTAGGCACGGTGGGCCGGGAGGCTTTAGAGCATGGCAAAACAGCAGATCAGGGAAAGGAGAGTCATTTGAGAGCTGCATTGAGGGGGAGAGGGTCTGAGGTGTTCAGCTGTTTGTCATCAGTGAGCAGTCAGACCAGAGCAGCTACCTTATAGATGACACAACAGAGGTATTTTGCTTCGTAAGATCAGTTCATTTGTTGATTGTACTCACGTTTTCTTTACATACAACATATTCAAATACAGCATTAAAAATACACATTTTGAGCTGGTGTCTGACAGCAATGCATCCCACACCATTTTATTTATTTTCTTTTTTGTTTTTGACTGACTAAATCTATTACATGCTTGATGAAAATTCTCCTTGTCTTAATTTATCTTGGACCATGATAATAAAGTGTTACACCGTTTGATCATCATGAATTGTGATTGTGTAATCAAACGTGAAACTGTTTCTTTGTATTCAACTCAGATGGAAACCTCGGGGTCTGAAAAGTAAAGCCAATGCAGTGCCTAAAATGTGCATTCTCTCAAATGGCCAGCAGGGGACGAGTCTTCTGGTTGCAAAGAGAAGTCAGATTGTACAGAAGTCTATGAGAAAATGACACAACTTCTCACTTTATTTGATTACCTCAGTAAACATTGTAAGCATAAGTTTATGGTCTCAATCAGTAGTTACAAGTCTTATTCAATACAGCATGATGTTCATTTAGTAAATTATAGTTTAATTTAGAGTAAAATAGACCATAAAGCAGGGTATGCTTAAGGGTATGGCTATCTGGTCATTGACAGGTTACTACCACAGTGTTGTCCGGTCTGGGAATTGTCCTTGTAGTGCTCGGTTTTACTTAGCTCCACCCTCTTGTGTCACTTCTGGTTGCAAAATAAAAAATAAAATGGCGACAGACAAAAACCAGGAGGAGACGGCCAAAATGCAGAGACTTCAAAACAGCAGTCCACAAACTAATGGGTGACATCACGGTGCCTACATCAACTTCTTGTATACAGTCTATGATTCAACTCAATAATCCAATATTAACACTGCTTACATCACTAATGGGGGCAGCGTCACATTTCACAAATGACTGTGGCTCTCAAATTGCAGAAAATGTGTGAGTCCTTCAGGGCCTTCAAGTCTTCCTGCATCAGTCGCAAGTATGGTGTTTATTTTGATTTATTAAATGTGTCAAAATTAACACAGGAGGAAATTATCTCATGTTGCAAATCCCACTTTTTATGTTTGTGAAATGGGCCTCTGGATCACAAAAGAGCAAGTCTGAGTCTACCCACCATTTCAAAGATGTCCTATGTTACACACAAGCTTTACTTTTGTTACCCTGCAATGACATCACACATGTCATTCATCTTGGTGGGACAGCAAATAGGTTCATACAATACTCTCAATTTATCGAATGGAGAGTCTTAAAATAATCTGAAAAACCTGTTTAAAAAAAGTTATGTATCCTCTACCTTATTTGCACTAACTCTCGTAATGAACAGCTCCGCAACTTGTGAATTGTGCTATTTTAATTCAACTTACATTTTCCTTTTAATTAAGTGAATTCTAAAAAGTGACAGTGTGTGTAAATTGTAGTGGCCAAACAAGCAAGTACTACAAAGGTTGAGTAAGGCCAAGAGGCAGTATTACTTACATAATTTGCTGCTCTGAGTCTGTGTGGGATGATGGTGGGTAATCTCTGCCCCAGCTTTCCCAACAGATGTCCTGGTAACCTTGGTCTTCTCTTTTAATCAAAGTGCTGCAAAGCTATCTTGATAGCTAAGAGACAGCTCAATGGCTGTTAAGTAAGATGGATATGACCGCAAAAGTATTGTGTCAGGAGACATAGTAGCTTGAAAACTCCCATCACAAACAATCTACAGTCTAACCACAACGTCTTCCACTGGGATGATTTGTGGTTTTTCATTTTATTTATTTAATTCAAAATGCCGTTTTTTTAAATTGAGCAATATATGTTTTACATTTCCAATCTGTGCCAGGAGTAGCTTCCCAGAAATAACACCCTGCGTGCATCTGATTATTAACAACAACAAAACAAATACTGTATGTAATACAAATGCTCTAATTCATGTTTCCTATAACATGACATACTGCATGACAGATCCAATCCTGGTCCGTCTCCGATCTGGCTGATCAGCGTAACTGTGTAAATGAAGAACACTGGGGAGCTGCTGCACTATTCCCATCTAAAAAGTCTGATGTGTGATATATTATAAGTGACATTTACACGGTACCAATGAACCAAATGGTCAAACTGTAATTTTGAAAGTGCCAAAAAAAAAACAGAAGCTATAAATTCAGTTAGTTATTGAGCCAGCTGGAATCGCTGCTTGTACAGCATTGTACAGTTCCAGAAATTTGCATCACAGCTGTGTTGTTAGTGATAATGAAAAGTCTCTTGAGTTTCCTCTTGGCAAATCAATAAACAGCAGTCAGAAATACTTCCTTTATAACATCGAATTAATCAAACCTCCATTTTCTGTGTCCATCACAAAACAATAATTGCTGCAATTTGAACACAGATGTCAGTTTAATGGAGTACCACACACACACACACACACACACACACACACACACACACACACACAC